AAAGAATTTATAATTCAGAAATTAGGCAAATGTATTGACTTCTCCTTATGTAGTATGAGACACTATCTTGGTGCTGGTGGTCTTCTTTACCTTATTTCCTTTAAAAAAAATTATTTCCCCAATCATACTTTACCTAAACTCCAAAAAGAGGCATTGGATCTTAAAGGTCCTGGAAACCAGATGGCTTAAAATTAGATGTCTAGATGGCATTAGGGTCCTAGCTCCACCTCCTTCAGGAGTGAGGGAAGCAGTAGAAAAACTAAGAACTTTGAAGTCCATCAGACCCAAGACCAGGTCTCAGGTTGGCCTTGCTCTCTAGTTGTGCAAATGCAGGAACTAAACTCATTTCTTCATTTATGAAATGAGGATAATTCCTGCCATCAAGGGGCTAGTCAGTCATGATTTAGTATAATAATTTTTGTAAAGAATTTGACATAGGAACTGTATATTAGATAATATAATTTTGGTTATAAGAAAAGTAAACCGATTGCAGCTAACTTCACATAAAATCAACTTATTACAGTTTCTCTGTCTCTGTCTCTCTGTCTCTCTCAAATCTAAAGTTATTGCTATGTCTTGGGCAGAGAAATATCAGGGCAGTGTTGGTGTTCTCAGCAGTAGGATTGCATGATTATTTTCTACAAGGGTTTACATTAATAAAGCTCAGGTTTAGCCAGTCTCTGTTTACATTTCTGAGGGAGAGAATCCCATGAGCTCATCTAGGTCAGATATAGATCAATCAGTTTTGGCTGGGAAGTGTGGAAACACTGATGACATAGCTCCTGGGGCCCCACTCTGTGTAAAGTGTGCCTCCCTCAGAGGGGGAGTCAGGCAGCAAACCATTTACTGTGTTCCACCACATAGCTCCTGATGCTCCTGCTCTTGCTCGTGCATTTGTATTCACACAAGCCCACCCTACTTTCTCCTATTTTCAGATATAAACTGCTATTTGGTTAAAATTAAACTGATTAATCTAACTTCCCTCTGAAATCTTCCATGGAGTCCAAGCGGAACCTAACTGCTCAAAGGAAAGGAAAACAGGGAGGCCAGCCAGAATCATAGATTAAATTTGAGTCTTAGAACTGATTTTCTGGACATTTCCATTCAGTTAGTAATCTAGAGTCTGGCCTCTGTAGTGGTACAGTGGAGATTTCTGAATTCCTTTATCCACCTTTAGCCTATCAACAGTGTGGCCACCTCTGAGTCATAGACTTTCTTCTGTAATGTAGAGGAAAAGCCCAAGAGAGATGGAGGATTTAACTGCAAGTCCACCCTTTCTGGCCACAGGTATTGTGAGGAGACAGACACGTTTAAGGGAAGCTTGGAATGGAACTCAAGTTGCCCAATTTCTCTCTCAGACCAAAGTTCAGAAGAAAGGAGACCATCATATCAGTTGATAGGAATTTGAGGGTAGAGTGGATTTTATCATGTTCATATCTGGGAGTCTAGGAAGAGGTGGCCCTAAGCAGTGGTTCTCAAAGTGTGGTCCCAGTATTACCAGTAATCAGTATCACCTGGGAACTTGGTGGAAATGCAGATTATCATGCCACACTCTAGACCTACTGAATCTGAAACTCTGTGATGAGGCTCGACAGTCTGTGTTTTAACAACCCCTACAGATGTTCTGATGATTGCCTAAGTCTGAGAACTACAACCCCTCTCCTCCTTCCCTGCCCCATCTCTGTTGCTTCTATTTAGGGAAGAGGAGACTAGAACCAGAGACAAGTTTGTTCCCCAAAGGCCCTTGAGATTCTGCACGTATAAGATAATTGTGGTCTTCTGACTCTACCGCTGGCATCACAGTACACAGAGGTGCCCTATGGAGGCTCCTTAGGTTTCAACTGTATTCCTCTTACATCTTGTGGGGAAGTAGCAACCATATTTTCCCCATTCTATGAGAAATACTCTAGCAAAACAAAGATCTGTGTCCCCCTCACCCCCCAACTCCTGAAACAGCATATGGAAGACTTGCCTACTAATGCAGTGGAATCATTATTTGTCTCTAGGAAGAAAAATTCCTCTTTTGGGCACTAAAGTCTTCAATCAATAAAGTTTAAAATCTTGGCCATGAAGCAGTTACTTTGCAAATGAATCATTAAGTATGTTCATGAGAAGAACCAGCTCCACCTACCCAGACGGCTTCCCAGATTTCTTTTATTCTGACCATTAAAGAAATGACAATATATTTGGGCTATAGGCCTAGAATATATATTGCATCCCTCAAGACAGTATCCCAGAATCATAACTATAGCTGAGTCATAAGATCAGTGTCATCCTTCTAAAAAGTCATCTACCTCTGGATGACACTGAAAATGAGAGGACTACAAATGTCATAGGGTTGAGCCCATTACCACACTATGTAAGAAGTCAAAGCAGTGTGTAAGGGATTCAATAAATCCATGTGCAGAAATGATGGTGGTTTATCAGCCACGCAGCCTACAGCATTGTTATAGCAGCCTAAGACAGTAAATAACAAGTAGTGAACCGAGGGGTACAAGTTGGGGACACCAGGGATGACTGTGGAGGAATTCCTCAACCACAAGGCTTCTTATAAGTAAATGGGGGGTCAAGAGGGTCTGTATTATCAGGTGGGGCATTCTCTGGCTTGGGGACCTAGTACCAGACATCAGCAAGAATGTAGAACTGAATTCTTCTTTGAATAGCAAGAGCCTAGAAAACCGAAATTATTTGTCCAAGGTTACACAAGTGACTACTGTCAGATTGAGAGCTAGTATTCCTCTCAAACTAGCCATTCATTAGTACAGATCCAGCACAGGGAAATATAGCCATTATTTTTTAATGGTTTTAAGGGGATATAATCTATAAAAATATTGAATCACTATGCTGTACACCTGAAATACACATAATATTATAAATCAACTATGTTTCAATTTTAAAAAAATAGGCAGCTGGTTTTCACTGATGACCAACATGTTCACAAAAGTCATTCCAGGGAGCAACACAAAAGCAGTGACATCAGCATATAACAAAATGAAATTCTTTGTGGTATAATTAATTACAGAAATTGTAGTCACACAATGGCTCAAACTTCAGTGATCCCAAAATCTAGTTTTCATAATCCCATCAGCAGTATCACTTTACATTTCCAGTGACCAGCTTAATAGTAAGGAATGATAGTCAGCTATAAAATTACCAAGATTTAGTTGCTTTACAAAAAGCACTAGAAAGCAGTTCCTGGCATGTTACAAAATATCATAATTAAAATATATCTACTTATTACAATAGCAGGATAGTGATGCCATAGCCTAGTTGTTTATTTCCTTTAGTAACAGTCATTTGTAAAATTCAGTAACTTCCAGAAGTTACCTGTCATTAGTACATAATGGAATACCATATATGATTAATGACAAAAGAGAAAATGGGGCATTGACTATATATTTTACTGAAAGACAAGAATTAAAGTCTTCATTTGGGAAAAAACAATTCAGAAGTGAATCAACATTTTGCTAGCACTCAGTTGAAGTGTTGTTTTGGAGACAATTACTGAAGTTCTACTTATGAGTAAATTACAGTTATAGTCAACATCGAAATGTTGGTTGAATCTGTCTCTATTATTGAAAATATCAACATGAAATTCAAACATCAAAATTCAAAAACCTTTTCACTTGTTTTAATATTAGTAGCTTCATTTGAACAGAGAACGTGTAATCCAACCTCGACAAACTGTCTACCAAGAAACTATGATGAATTTGCAAATTATTTTTCTGAACTATGGACAATATCCAGCATTTGATTTTTTTTTTAAAGATCACTTGATTTTGGAATTGAATTTGGATTCAGCTTTCCTGGGTTCTTCATGGTGGTGAAAGAATTAATGGGGCACCATATTGTTTTTCATCGTCTCCTGATGGGAGTGTCTTCCAACAACCTTATTGCTCCTATTTTGCCTTCTCCAAGCCACCTAATTTTTATCCATGTCCTTAATTGCTCCCACCATTGCCACCATATGTGTCAGCCCACAAGAAACAATGTATCATTTGCTGCAAGATGATACTCGCTCCAGGTGGTTTCATGGCAAGATGAACAAAGGTGAATGAGAAAGTAACTTATTTTTTAAAAACCAGAATGCCAGTTTACTAATGGACAGTTAGAATTGTAACTGTCACACAGACTAAAATATGCATCAGTAAGAGTTGGGCTGATAGGAATATTCTGGTATGTGTGACAGTTATGATTGTTATTGTAGCTTATGAGTTTGTAAGCATGTAGGCTGGTGTATAAGGAAAGCCAACTTTCATCCAAAGAGTGAGTAAAGGAAAATTTTTAATTTGAACATTAGTAATATCAGGCTGATAAAACCTGGGGCCATATCCATTTCCAAATAGGGTGAGCCTATTATAATTTTAGAATAGAGTCCTACTGTGTACCTGAAAGTTAAGAGATTGTTATTTAATCACATTATGTCAAAAATAATCCAAATTTTACATGTAGGGAACTATAGTAATAATATTTTGGCATATCTAATTATTTGTTCAAGGTTGTAGTTCCTGAAACATAGGGACATTAAAGATTCTAGTTGGGAGAGATATCCAAGCAAGAGAATATGCAAAATGTACAATCTGTTACACAGGGGTAAGTGCTAAGGGGAAAAAGACAGCAGGTGAGGGGAATATGCAGGCTGTGAAGGTGTCTGGGAAAGAGATCTGCAGGCCAAGTGAAGAGCAAGTTCAAAGGCCCTTAGGCAGGAGGGGAGGAATCATGTGGGCCAGCAGGTGACAGCGCGGAGCTGGCCTTACCTTGAAAGTAGCATCAAGTGATGGGTCCCTGCCCTCAAGGCACTTACAGCTTCGCAGGAAAGACAGAAGCTAATTAACTAACCACATGTGTGAGAAATTAACTGCAGTTGTGGGAAATGCCACAGTCCCTTCCTGGAGCCCAAAGGAATATCCTCTTGCTAAGTAGTGGAAATCTGTTTAGTCCAAGAGGGTTGCAGAGGTCCGAAAAACTGAAATGATATTTTGCTAGATCAGGAGGGACAGTCCAGCCCACTGTTCATCTTGCTGCCTTTGTGATGAAAGGACTCTAATAGAGATACGCAGTGGGGGACAAGAGCTGGTGCACATTCACCGAAGCTGTGGTAACGGAAGCAAAGCATGGCTATTAGATCCTAGACTCTAAATGCTGGTCCTCTACTTCTGAATGGCTGTGGGTGGGAATGGGGGAAGGTGGTACTTTCGGGGCAAGCCAAACTTCTCTCTAGGAAATACCCCAGCCTTAGAGATGCAAAGGGACTCTGCTCCATGGCACCACTGGCCACGTCAGCCGGACGCGCACATGAGAGCCGGCGCCCAGGCGGGCGGCTCAAGTGTCAGAAGCAGAGTCAGCTATCAGGCCAGGGCTCACGCAGAGGAAAGCCCAGAGCCCCACACGCGTCCAGAGACCGGAAACCCTCGGCCAGCACCTATCTGCTGGGAGGTGCGTCTCAGGGGTCAAAGCCGCTTCTCGCTGCACCTGCCCAGCCTCTCTGGCAGCAGGTACTGACCAGGGAACTTCTTACCACCCACGTCTGACCTAAGGCCTCCCCTAATTCCCTCCGGTCACTCTCTGGCTGCAGACTCGCCCCCCCCAGGGCCCTTCTCCCTCCACACCTGGGCTTCCGTCCTGAGGGTCCTCTGGCTCCGCGTGGGGCGAGCTCACTTCCCCCTCCTTCCCCTGCAGGCTGTCCAGGGAGCCCACCCTCCGCCCGCTCCGCGGGGTTGGCAAGGGCCCCGCAGGGGTCTCGGGCTCCCAGCCCACTGCCCGCCCTCCCTGCCACCCGCTAGGCATTGGCCGGGGACGCCCATATCCAAGAAGGGCTTCTGCCGAGAGAGGAGGCCCCTTGCCGAGAGAGACCCTCAATCCGAAGTCACCCGGCCCTCCCCACCCTTCTCGCCGTGCCATGCAACCCCGCCCCCGAGCAGCCCTCCCGATCTCCGTGCGGTACCCCTCGCCCCTCTCCGGGAAGAACGCAGTGATTCAAACAGCCGTGGCGGCTCTTTGAGCCCAAGGAGCGAGCACGGCAGCCATTGGCGGAGGCCGCTGCCTCCGGCTGTCAATCCTGCGGTCCGGCCCCGCCTCACCGGCGGAGCGTGGCAGGACGCAGGGCCGCGGGGGCTGTCGGGACGGCTCCAAGATGGCCGGGTTCTTGGGGTCCGCACCTGCTGGCGGCCCCGAGCCTCGTTCACTGCCACTGCTGCTGACCGGAGCCGCCAGTCAGCCCGGGGACTCCAGGGGTTGTCCCCGCGGGGCGGAAGGCCGCCATGGCGACCCTTGAAAAGCCGGTGAAAGCCTTGGAGTCCCTCAAGTCCTTCCGGCAACAGCAGCGGCCGCCTCAGCCCCCTCAGCCCCCTCAGCCGGCGCCGCCGCCGCCTCAGGCCTCTCATCCGGAACCGCCGCAGCCGCTGCCTCAGCAGGTACTGCCGCCTCCGCCTCAGGCCCCTCAGCCGGTACCGCCGCCGCCGCCGCCGCCTCAGCCCCCTCAGCCGGCACCGCCGCCCGCCCGGCCGTGGCCCAGGAGCCGCTGCACAGACGGTGAGTCCCTGCGTACCCCGACCCCACGGCCGCAGGCCCACCCGCGGTCCCCATGCCCCTCCCCCATCCTGCGCGGGTCTGTGTCCCTTCTTCGGCCTCCCCCAAAGGCCCCGAGGCGGTCCGGGCCCCAGGCCGCTGCTTTCCCGGCTACGAAACTCGGGAAGGAACAGGGCTGTGTTGTGAGCCTAGGCCACGCTTCACGTTCGGCTTCCTCCGGGCCACTCCCCACCCCTCTCTTCCTGGGTCGAGGTGTGAGATTTTATCTTCCCTTTTCAACTGAAGTTTTGAAAGTGTTTCAGATAATTGTCAAAACGCTATGCATGCAAAACACTAGGTTAACTTAAGGGAGGGAGTAGGAGAGAAGAGGAAAGGAGCGAAGTTCACGGGTCACTTCCTGTGGGGGTGGGTTAGATGGTCACAGTGGTGAGCGGGTAACTGTCACATGGCTCCATATACTTATTATAGTCATTACTCTTACTAACCCCCGACAGCACTGGTATAGAGGAGGTATGACCACGGAACATGTGCTCATTGAGCTTAATTTTACACAAACAGTAAGATTTCCATGGAATCAAAACAGGCAATAAATGCCAGCTGCAGAGGACAGCTTGTGCAGGGTTGGGAAACAGCATGGCATGATCAGAACTTTAGTTTGACTGGCTTGAAATGTAGAGGGAATGGGAAACTTCACACTGATGAATCAGAGAGGATACAGCTGTTTTTATTAAACTAAAATGGTTAAATCAGTCTTGTTGGTCAATGATTAGCCTTAGCTATGTGAATTTGGAGTCTGCAAGTATTTTATAAGTTCTATAAGAGGCTTTTTTTTTGATTTCAGAACTCTTAAGATATTAGAAATTCAACTTTATTTTATAAGAATTTTAAAAAAGATTTATGTAAGTGCTTATTTAACTCAATTAGAACAGAGTTCCTTTAACTTAGGAGACTTTATTATCTCATGTATTAACACCCTCTAGAGGTACACAATGAAAAGTGTAGGCCTTTCTGATTTATAAACAGACACACAGACACAGGGAAAACAAAGAGCATGTAGCTTCAGTAACAGTTCAAGGGAAAACTCAGAAACAGAAATTTTCCCTGGTCAAAATATCAAAAAAAAGCACCTGGGGCTCATATCCCTTAATTGATTTGAGCTCTAAATGGACAAATACACAATTTTTTAAAAAAAAAATTGCTAAAAACAAGATTCTCTGTCACGTTGAATAATAGAGTATTTTGAAGTTTAAATAAATACCAACAATAGAGCTATGAGGGAGGAAAAATATAAAATACTGACACTTTTTTTAATTTGACTTTAAGGTGCATTCTTAAGTACATAGGAGAGAAATGTCATGATGTGTGCAGCTCACTTGCAAATGGTTCAACAGCATTAACAATGATTGAATTTAGGTGGTGGGCATATGGGAATTTATCATCCTATTAAAAAGTTTTCTGTACTTCTGAGATTTATCATAATAAAACATTGGTAGGAATCTGTTAGACATAATGCTCTATGTGAAGTAATTTGTTTCCTTTGTGAAATTCTAGGAAGATTAAAATGCATGTTCATAACATCAAGAAAATCACAAGCATTTATGATGTAATCAGAACTATCTGAGGAGCTGTGAAACCTGGTGAGTTGGTGAATTTTTTAAAATGTCTTAAAACATTTTGTTTTTACAAAGATTACAGGAGTAAGAGAAGGTGAATTTTAATCAACTCTTGATATTTTTTTCCTGGTTGATGTGATATAATTAAATGTGAAAAAAAAAGGTAAATTCTAAAAGGAGACTCTGCCTTGGTGGTTTTCTATGGAGGAAACTCAAGCAGGAGAAATTTTAATTTAAAAACATAAATTACTGTTCTTTATAGTACATTCTAAGTTGTCATTGTTTTGAATGCCTTCCTTTCCAGACAGGTGTGTTATTCTGGGAGATCATCAGGACTCCTGGCTATTTGGAGGTATTGACCCAACCAGTGGAGCTGCCGGTTTGAAAGAAGTTGTCTAGAATTTTGGAAAACTGATTAGTAGAGGTAAATAATGTTTCCTTGGCAAGTGATGACAGAAAGTGACTCAGTGAATCTTCCTTTGTTTTTAGGCCGGTGTACCTAACCATGTATGTTAACAATGATTACAGGCTGGAGACTGAGAAGAACTACCATGTTTGCCAGCTGGGATGCAGAAGAATTTGGACTTCTGGGTTCCATAAATGGGCTGAGGTAACTAAGATAGAAAACTTCTTATTTTCTTGGTCAACATGTATCTCAGGGTAATCACAGATGTGTTCCATTACCTGATGTGGTTTTAATTTGTATAAATACTCAAGAAAATTTAAGAAATAGAGTTTGTTTTTGCTTTTACATCAGTTTGGCAAAACAGAACAACCTCTTAATTACTGGGCACAAACCAATTTTTTCATTATTACTAAAATATTTTAGTTTCTATTTGTATTTGTTTTGTGATAAATAAGTAAAATCTGTAAGCTCAGAAAATAGTCAAACCTAGGAAGCTGCTTCTGACAAGTGAATTAGCTTATCAAAAAGTTGATATAAATCCTTGGCATTAATTTTCAAGTTTTTAACAGTTTCCTTGGATTTCTTCTATTTAGGAAAACAACATACTCTTTTAAGATGACTATACTCTGATTATAGTCTCTCCTTTATGGATTCCATACTAAATTGTAACCATAAGTATATTTTACCATTTACAAAAGTGATTGGGGAGTATAATACAATGATTTTGTAAATTGAATTACTCTAATATTTCAAGGATTTATTTTTAATTCAATTATGATTAATTTGCATTTGTCACTGGCTCTTAATGCTTTATTTTAAAGTGTCTCTCATAGGCCCCCTTCTTTCATCTTCTTCCCTTAGGCTCTCTGTCCAGTAACTCTGAGTTCTTATATGTTCAAGGTAGGCTTGTGCATTTTTTTAAAGGCAGGTGCACCAAAAAGCACTTTCCTTTGACCATCCTCTGTTTTGTTCATCATTTATGAAGTCCAAATTTTATAGAATTGATTTAAAGAATGTCATATCTTTCTTGCCATTGTGTCTGGTTTTTAAAATGCTTTCCTTCTGAATCATTTCCTCATACTTTAAAATAATAATATGAATCAAATAAGTATGGGAATAAAATCACAGTTACTTGTATCACATTTGATTCTATTTATATGGCAAAGTCTTATTATTATGTTGG